TTTGAATATTACATGTTAATAACTTGATTGGAATTATAACCTTGAGTTGACAGTTTGATACTTTGAAAATTTTGAGCCAGCCCTACCCCCAAGGGCTGTAGGGTGGGGCTCAAGGGAGTCAGTGTGCTAAAATTTCTTCATTTTCCTTGTTTAGAATCAGAGGTGCTAGTTTCAAATCCTTTTTAGTCTGAAATCTGTATGCTTGATATTGAATAAGGTGGTTTTATTGTTTTTTGTCACTTTGAATAATATTTCTGTTCATGTTAAAAACGAAATCAACTCTCTGTATAAATATATCAGGTGACCGTTAAGGCCCATGGGCCTCTTGTTTATTAAACCGCCATGATTTTAATTATGATTTATGTTTTGATATGCTATAAAGGCATCCACATCATTGTTTTCTCACACATGGGGAAATTGTCTTCTATACAGCCTGATCCCCAGCAGCACAATGCTCAGAAAGACCGAGGGAATTACGAACGCTATCATGCATACCTAGATAAAATACAGCAAAACAGAGACGCACAGCGGAACAACTTTAAACCAGGTCAGTTTTCAAATTCTAACAGTTACTCAAAAAGCTATTTGCTTATTGATTTCCTTAGATGAAATAAATTATGTATTAATCTGAAACGTGTAAAAATTTCAACTTCTTAAGCATATGGGAATATGTTTGATTTTTTCATTATATTCCAGTTCAACCGGCAGCAGCATATATGGACGCCCCACGACCTCTCCCAGCCGCCCCTAAGCATGCGCAGCCCATCCCTAAGTGGCAGCGTCCTGGCTCTGGCCGCACCCCAGAGCCGACACCCATGTACCCTGACCCTCGGGCGGGAGGTGACAGGTAGTGATCTGATGTCCATATCAACCCATGTATAGCCTTCAAATAAGCGTTCTTGTTGATAATGTGAATTTTTTTTTCAAAATCTTATGTTTTTTTTACAAAATTGTGTGTCATAATGAATCTGGTATTTAAAATGATTTATTAGGTGGAGAATGATGTATTGAAAATGATTTATTAGGGAGAGAATCAGGTATTGATTAGATGGAGAATAAGGTATTGAAAATGATTTATCAGGTAAAGAATAAGGTATTGAAAATGATTTATTAGGGAGAGACTCAGGTATTGAAAATACTTTATTAGGTGGAGAATAAGGTATTGAAAATTATTTATTAGGGAGAGACTCGGGTATTGAAAATATTTTATTAGGTGGAGAATAAGGTATTGAAAATGATTTTTTTAGGTAAGAATAAGGTATTGAAAATGATTTTTTTGAAAGAGAATCAGGTATTGAAAATAATTTATTAGGTGAAGAATAAGGTATTGAAAATGATTTATAAAGTGGAGAGGTTATGGGCTTTACAGTATTTTTGACAAGGTGACTTAATCATGATTTAATCAGAAATTCTTTGAATATTTGTAAAAGAAATATTTTTAGGGACAAATATCTATTTTCATGAATCACATCCAACTGATAACTGAATCGATATTTTTTCTGTCGGCCTAGGCCTGTAACTCCAGCACAGGAACGAGCAAGAATTGTCGACGAGTTTGTGCTGAGAAAGAGAGAAGCAGCTTTAAACAGACAGCGGGGAAATGCAGACTTATTCGGGGTAAAATATTACCAACTCAATTTAAACTTTTATAAGAATCACCTTTACACAAAATAGGATCCATATTATTGTGAATCTTATATGTACAGTTTTATACAGCTTTAAACAGACAGCGGGGAAATACAGACTTATTCGGGGTAAAATATTACCAACTCAATTTAAACTTTTATAAGAATCACCTTTACACCAAATATTATTACCCCTTTGAGAAAAATCTAGGAATCTGATAGGTTAAAAACTACAGTGTACCAAACCGCATTCGTAAATCTCAGGGGGTATACGAAAATCTCGGGGTATACAGTCATGTCACGTGATTCTCAGCAGTAATACGGTGCAATCACATGATTTTACAAGGGGTATACGGGTCACGTGTCTTTGTATCTTGCGGCCGGGCATCGGGAGACAACTCACATTCGTCGTCTGCTTCGCTGTTTACAAAATGGCAAACCGTTTCGCTTCGCATACTGATGAGGAAATACTCGCCAAAAGGGCTAACTATGTGCCACATAACACACAAAAGTCGAACAGACGAGCGGCAAACATGCTGAGGACGTATTTAAAAGAAAAGAATCAGGAAGAACAGTTCGAGGAATTTGATAAAACGAAACTAAATGAGGTACTGTGCCTGTTATTTTTCTTTATAATAAAAGACTCAAAGGGGTAATAAATTTGTTACACAGATTTTTGGCAGGGTATACGGGATGGTATGACCCTACAGGATTTCTTATTTCCTTCGGCCTATCGGCCTATCAGCCTCAGGAAATACTAAACCATTTAGGGTCATACCATCCCATATACCATGCCAAAAATCCGTGTAACTAATAGGATCCATATTATTGTAAATCTTACATATTTGTTTTTACCTGATGTTTTCATGCATTACTTTGTTGTCATATTAAGGTTACATTCGCGTATCCTGGTTGAAACGGTACAGGTGGCGCAGAAATAATTCTGCAATACACGAACGCACTTGGACCGTTCTATAAGCAGAGCTAAAAATGCACAGTTTCGGAAAATAAATTACAATGTATCAAGAATATTAGGCCCTTCTTTCACGCGTCCACTGAATTACATAACGTATCTTAAAAACTACATGTGGTTTGACATTGTTTTAGAAAGAAAAAATGCAAACTAGCAATAGTCAGCATTTTAGTTTTGGTCAGATTCGTCTGGAACCCTCAATCTACACATGCCGAATATTCCTGAGGTCAGCCTCGGTTCAGATCTGTGCCTGTCGTTTTCTTTACTGGTTCAACCGTTTAAACTGGTTGAACAGGATACGCGAATTTAGCCAATGTAAAATCAAGTCTCATGATCCATTTTGTACAAAGTTATGTCCCTTTGTACCTTGGGCATCTCTTTGTCATTGGCTGATCTCATCACTATATATGTCTCCTACGATTGCCAAATTTTGTGTGGGTAAACCTCATAACATGTTTAAGTGTTCCATAGTAAAATCCAGTCTTGTTATGAATTTTAAGTCCTTTTTTTCATTGCAAAGTTTGTCTAGATGTAGGGACTATGGATTTCTCACAACTCTTTTAGCCTTTGCTTTTAAATAATTTTCAATATAATTTGATGTATGTCCATAAACAATTGGTTTCACTATTTATCTTTGATATTTCGACAAAGAAAATTTCAACCAAAACTTTTTTTCATAAAATGTATCATTGCTTGTGCTGTCCAAACATTACACCAGTCACTGTAATTATTAGAATGCAGCTCCTGCAGCACCACCATATGCAGTGCAGAGACCACGCCAGTCTCCGACTCCAGCTCGACACGAGCCAAGTGACGGGGCTCTCGACAGTGCCAGAGATAGGGAGGAAAAGGTACTGTACCTATACTGTTCCTATCTCCAATATCTGCCTTAAGGAGAAAGCTTCGGTATCTCTGTCCCAAAGGGAAAGCATTGGTTTGTGATGTTTACATTCTGCTACAGTAACTGTCTGAATTTTAAGGCAATGCCTGTTAATGTTAGAAATTTTTCAAGATTGATTTATTTTCTTAGATTATCCACATTATCTATTTAAGAATAATTGCTCTAAAATATTACCCCCATATAGTAATACAAGATTAACCACATAACGTGTAGTTTCATCTCACTTCTTAATCTACGATCTCTGTCTTAAAGAGAAACTATTGTTCGTGATGTTTACATTCTGCTACAGTAACTGTCCAAATTTCGAGGCAATGTCTGTTAATGTTAGAAATATTTTAAGATTAATTACTCTGAAATTATCCACATTATCTACTTAAGATTTACTACTTTATAATGTAAACCCTATTAGTTAAATGGAGGTTTACCGAGTGTCTTTAACAATTTGAAAATTAACTAATTAGAGTTAGGTAAACATGATATAATCAACCGTCACATACCGGTATTGTTGGAGAAATCAGAATTACCACTACAATTGTTGTAATGACCAGAATATACAGTAGATTTCATTTTAAAACAGGATTACTTGGAAAAGCTTAAACAAATTAGGATGCATAACTACCAAGAGAGACGACAGATCCAGGGAAAGCCCCAGGTACGTATGTAACCATGGCCAGCCCAGCATGATAATAATTAGTGTAATTGGTTTTGGTCATGCTTGTCTTGAATTGCTCTAAAGAATTTAGATTCGGAGGTTATGCAGACTTCATATACCCTCCAAGAATATTTGTAAGTACTTTTTTCTGTAAATTATAAGCATATAACATGTTAAATGTTCAATTTTCATTTTTTCAATAAGTTGATTTTTGTGTCGCCTGCAACGCAAGGCGACATATATATAGGTATGACTTTGTCGGCGTACGAAACAAGGTCTCCATTCGATAACTTGAGTTCCCTAGGGTTGATTGAACTCAAACTTGGTACACATATTCAATGCATACCAATATAGCTCGAATGAGTTTGCATTTCAGAAGTTTACGTGCATTTTTGGTGAAGTTATGCGCCTTTTAATACCAAATAAGGGCATTGTGTAGTTAATGCAAGAACTTTTTTTTTTGATCAATTCCTTTCGAATTTTGTATGGTAATGCTAGAAGCAATAATGTTCAACATAAATATAACATGTTTTTCTGTCGAATTTCAACTTTCTGTTTCGAGCCAAAACACTTTTCTCACTAAAAGCGCTGAGCAGGCGACACATTCACTCCTGTGGAATTCTTGTTTTAATGAAAAGCAATAAGATTTTATGATCCTTAAAATGTCTTATATCAATATCAAAAATGGATGTTCTTACAGTTGGTAAAATATTTATCAAACTATAAATAAAACCACACTATCCAATTCATCTGATTTTACATATGAACTTTTTTTTTATTAATATTTTTTTTTTTTTTTTTATGTTGATGATTAAATGAAAAATACTAGAAGGAGAGTAAAAATGGTACATCAAATGACACGTTTTTTCATTACATGCTTGTATTTGTTGTAAACAAATAACTACAATATGGTCTTGTATATTATGAAAACTATCAAGTTTATTATTGGATTTTTCAAGGATGCGGCAGCTGAAGCAGAAGCTCGGAGGAGGAAGGTTGAGGCTCTGAGAGTAAGTTATTATTGACATATGAGTCCTAGTATGCAAACATCAACAGAAGCCTTTAACAAAATCTTGATACTTTACCATTCAATTATCAGATATTTGTTTGGTAGTTTGAAATGTTAAAATCATAGGGGGGGGGGGGGAAGTAGTAGATTCAAATTCTTGTTATTGAAAATAATTATTTGTATTTGTCGTAAATATAGAAATATAGTTTACTGATAACAAAGCTGTAACACTGAATCTTAGGGCCATGACCCTGTGTCAAAGGTCAAGTTAATACAGTTGACAGTTACTTTTATTAATCTAGAATCTGTTGATGTGATTTAATATGCATTAATATATGCTGTATTTTATAATTACTCCATGCTGATGTATATTTTTTAAATATTCTGTAACAACCTTTTACTTTGATATAATACAATAACACAGTTATAATAGTCATTGGCAAAGAGACCCAAAACAAAAGACTACATTCATCTTTTATCATTGCATAGTGGGCAACATTATTAACAAACCGAACATAGTAAGCAATGCTTCAAACAGTACAAGGAAAAAACAATTGTATGATATTTGTAAACTTTATAATATGTCTGAAGTAAAAACGCTGTAAAAATGATGCCAAAATTTGTTTTATGCCTTTAAGTAAGAACTTATAATTAACCTATTTTGTTTATTAATTTTTCAGTATGATAAGGTCAGTCATTTTAAAACCACTCAGTTATTTTTAGTGTTTCATTATTGTGAAAGGGCACTACTTGACAAGTACAGTAAAACCTCGTTATACCGCCACGTTCTGTCCTCTTGTGATTTTGGCGGTATATCAGGTTTACAGTTTTAAACCCAAGTGTTCAAACACCAAATGAACTTATACTTAAACAAAATAATAATTTACTTCAGAACACATTTTTTTTTTCAAAGTTGTAATTTAATGTATCAAATTACCATACAGCTGATTACCTGGTCAGTCGGCATACATATACCTGTACTCAACTCAAATTGGCATTATTTAACGAGGTCAAAATAGTGTGATTTTAACCATTTGTTTTGTGAATATGATGGCGGTATGCAGGTTTGCCAGTTTAACGGGTGGTATTACTACAGGGTTTCTAGCTATATCATATAACTACAGTGACCGTTATGGATTTATTTGGTGATTGAAACAGACTCAGTGTTGTGGTTAATACTTTAATTGTTCATCAACTTGAAATCTGTAGCTTGTTTTCAAAGTTAAAGTATTGATTTATTAGGTGCTAGGTACGTATTTGGTCACTATTATTTCACAGTTTCAATTGGTTAAGCTGTTGTTTATAAATTTCAAAGGTATTTATTTATCATAAAAAATTCACTGTGAGTAAGAAATTGTATTGCACCATTTAAAATTTGATTTGTAATTCACTGTTTAAATCATTGTAATTAATTTTATCAAAATTAATACAAGATGTTTGTAGAAAGTATAGTGAAGGTCAAATCATATATGTACTATGATAAATTACCTAGAATAAAATACAGTATATAGAATAAGAAAGTGATTAAGAATGTGATTTTAATTTAATTCAGTGGATGTAACAGATTAAGACTAGACATCCATACATAATATCAGAAGCACATCAAGTAAAGCCTTAATATTAGTACTGTTGCTGTAATTTATTTTACATTAATAAAAAAAAACAATATGTTGATAACATCATGACAAGTTAATAAGAATTTAATTTTGAAAATATTATAAACTTGAGTGTATATATATAAAGGTATAGATTTCATTTAAATGAAATGTGCAACTGTTAAATGAAATAAACAGTTAAAAGAAATATTCTTAAATTGACAGAACTTTAACATATTATCAAAATATTAGTTTTCTGTTTGCTGATGAATTTTATGCAGATTATACATTGTATAATGATACAGCATTATGAAAACTCTATATTACATTTTTGAAAAACGTTTTCCAAGAAAAGATATATAGAAAAAGTATATTTTAAATGTCTTTTTAAAGTTTAAGTTTGTTGGAATATTTCAGAAATTCCTACAACAAATGCATAGCTCATATGTTTACATTCTTCATGGTTGATTCCAGCAACAGGCAGAAGACAGGGCCAAACATCTGAAGGAACAGCTTGAGAGGCAGCGTAAGGATATGTACGATCACGGCAGACAGAAGGCCAGTAAGCCTGTCCCTGCCCCTCGTCCAGTGATGAAGCCTGCCCCGGCGGTGGGGATGACCGCTGCCCTGAAGGCTGTGGGGGTTGAACCAAAAGAACTGCCCAAACCTGTACCGACACCTACTGTGGGCATGACAGGTGCCCTCAAGGCCATAGGGGTGGTGAAGGATGAACCCCAGCCTGTGGACTCTAGGTAAGGAAAACTATGGGAAGGAGGTATATGGGTATACAGCCAAGCTCAGGAGATCATTGGGGGGATGGAGGGGTGACTGATAAATCCTCATTTGTAGACAGAAGACAGTTACATTGATACAAAGCTCACTAAGGTAGACCATTGGTGGTTGGGTTTGAGGGGTTGGGGGCTGTGACTGAAAAATGCCACCTGTATGCTCTCAGTAAGAAATGTAAGGTAGAGCATGGAGTTGGTGGCTAATGGACCTCCACATGGTAGGGAACACCGAGGCTGGCAGTACAACACTATGCATGATGGATACAAAGCCAACATATACATGTACACCATAAAGGGTGATAGCTGAAAAACTACACTTGGATTGTCACCTTTGCACATCTGTTCTTGCTGCAGTTGAACTTACAGTTATTCTGCATCACAAAAATGAGATATTAGATGACATCAAAGATTGCTGATATAGTTGCTTGTATATGGAATTAATTAATTAATTATATGTGGATAAACTGAAAAAATTACATTTGTACGTATTTATTATGATGATGAATGTTATATATTATATACGATAGTTTTCTAAACAAGTGGAATTAGAATCCTTATATGTTGTATGTTTTTGTTTCCATATGATTAGTTTGATGTATTATCATCCCTTTTTAACCCTTTCACCCCTATGTAACTTTAGTAGACTCTGCCATGCATTGATGTGGATGAGTCCATTATGGTCTGAAGTGGTGAAAGGGTTAACCACTAAAACTATTTGGAATGGAAGGTGGCATAACAGGGAAACATTATATTCAGGCACATATCTAGGGTATTTGGAGATTTCAATTGTCTCCAAGGCAACTCAACCACAGCCTCTGGAAGTGTAGCAGTAAATTAACGTGCTTAGATTCCTACGTTACACACTGTACAGAATGTGCTGATCTGTGAATGAATGCTATTAAATTAGAATTTCATGGACAACAATTTCAAACTAGATGGCTCTGCATTTGTATACAGGTGTATATAATGTGCTTCATTATTTTGTGTGATGTTAGGAGTCCTCTGAAGCAGCAGAAAGAAGAAATCCTTCGTCGTTTAAATGAGAAGGTAAGTAAAATCTTTGTTCAATTAGAAGAGATGGGGCTTTCTTATTCCTATATTTTGTATTATATGTGTATAGTTTTTATCTGTTCTGTGTCTGAGATGAGATTTATTGTTTCTTAATTATCTCCTGTGATACAACGATTGCAAATAGTAAATGTGTTTTTTTACGTTCTTCTATAAAATGGGTAACTAGATTAGCTTAACTTACCAGTGCTTTGCGTTATGATTTAATATTTACGATTTCAATTACCTCGACTGTATTTTGTTTGGCCTTAATAAGTGAATGTCTTCATTAACGGTGATTGTATTGGCTAATGATTGAAACAGATTAACTCATTTACCCCTGACATTTCATAATGAACTATTCCAACCTTTGAATTGGAAGGGTCCAATGTGTCTTCAGGGGTGAACAAGTTAATAAGAACATCATAGAGTTTGTCACAAGTAGTAAAAGACTATATCATTCCTGACTGATAGGTGACACCACGGGGTAAATGGGGAGCTCCAGCCGAGGTCGCCGTCGAGGAGGAAGTGCAAGATCCGCCAGAGTCATCCCGTTCCCGATGGAACGAAGGGGCAGGTGACCGACTGTCACTCAAGGAAATGCCTCTAGAACAGACAGCCTCACATATGGAAGGTATGTAGACACTTCGAATGCCCCCAGAAAATTATGTAACTTTTACATACCAGTAAATGTATACCCTTCAGTTTTCACACAAAAAGTTATTTTCAAAGATTGGGCTGTTCAGAATTTATCAAACTATTAATGAATACTGAAAGTAACTGAATCCAAATGATTAAATTCACAAAAGTAACAGTTGTGTTTAAAAATTAAGTCAGAGATCACTGAAGTCATGGTGGACTAATTCTTTCGAATTAATTCAAAATGTATATTATTCTTTTCACAATTTTAAATGTTTCCAAGTATAACTTCAAATCACTTGTTCTGTGTGAGACATTAATTTCTTGCATTAATTTGCGAGAGGGACGATCATGATTGTGTATATCATCAAAATATTTATTCAGATATTATATAACATGAAACATATAGTGGTCAGTTCATGTATTTAGCAAAGCCTTACTTTAAGAAATGACTAATACCTGCTCTTGCAGTTGATGTGTGTTATGTGCTGACAGCATTCTAAACTTTAATTTCACTGTCGGTGAAAAGGAAATATACTTTAAGTATTGGATGTTGAACCCTTGCAGTTAATAAACTTGGCCATCTGTTCATTATTTAAACAAACAAGCTACAATTGGAAATTGAATTTGTTTGTGCTTTATTATGTCTCCCCTTCAAATGAAGGCAGACATATTGTATTAGTACTGGTTCTTCTTCTGGTTCTTCTTCTTCTTCTTCTTCTGGTTCTTCTAATCGTAACTTGTCTGGGCCATAACTTTTAAACCGTTAAAGATATCTTGATGAAACTTTAGGTATGCATGCATCACCCACAGAAGGTGTGCAGTGCACTGGAATTAGGTCTCGTGCTTCACTATATATAGAGTTATGGCCCTTTGTTTATTTTAAATACAGAAGTTTGTCCACAGCATAACTTCCATGTTATTTTACCTACATTGACCAAACTTGCTATAGTTTTAATGTATCTTGGGAAGTAGGAGTGTCACATTCTAAATTCGAGTCAGGTGCCCCACTATATAAAGAGATATGGCCCTTTGTTAATTTTTTTATACCGAAGTTTGTCTATTGGCTAATCAGGGGGGACATATGTTTTTGTTCACAAAAACAAAATTCTTGTTTTGAATACTACTTGATATTAACTGATTCTGATTGACAGCTACAAGTGCTCGGGACAAAGTCATTCAACATCCTTCCACGGAGGCTGAATTGGCTGCTGATGTGGCAGCCGCGGTTTCTAGGCGACAGTGGGGCCGCCCTGGCAGTACGGTGTTGAACGCTTTAAAGGACATCCCCATCAAGGAAGGAACCATGGGCAGTGATAAATCAGGTGTGATATGGAAGATCCACAATAACACGATTTGTTTCTGTTCCTTATATATTCTATTAGATCTAAATGTTCTGATTGAAACACATATATTGCCTATTTCAATTAGCAATGGGATTAGGCATAAGTTGAAAAACTTTTACGAGGCCCTTTCCCTACAATTTTACAATTAGTTTTAAACGATAATTCAAGATGACAAAACTACATATGATAAACTAAGTATTATAATAGACCCACTTACATATGCTTAATCCGAACACGCACACATTCAACCTTTAACACACAATCTTAATGTCATAGTATTATTCTAAGAAAAAAATTGAACAATTATTTCAGTTCATGTACTATTCATTGTCAGGAAAAACAACGAAGCCACATATGAGTTGAACGTACCATTATTCGATATATAATGATAAACTATGTACTGAAACTTTGCTTCATTAATGATTTCTTAAAGATTTTTTCTCTATCATACATTTCAAGTTACCAAGAAGGCTCTATCAGTTTGTCTGTTGAGATGTCGGTTTTCATTCCAGGCTATGAATTCTTTATACAATTAATTTAAAGACATTCTATGAAAATTTGAACGAAGATGTGACATAAAATATTCCGGTTACAAGTCATAGATCAAATGACCTGCGTAATTTTGTAAATGTCGAAACTATCAATTTCTTGCGCAGGAGATGATATTTTGACGGAGTTTTCCTTATGCTTATATCATTTTCAGGACTTTTAAATTAATAAACATGGTCGCTGTATATCTTATTTTTCATTATAGTTTGAAATGGGATGTTTTGGTGTGTTTAATGTTTGCTTATAACAACAATACTTTGTAACAGACGACAGTGTTCCCTCATCTACTGAAGGGGACGGTAAACCAGCCATAGGGTCCACCATCACACTGTCCCCTAAGCCCGTCATTAACAAAGGGACCATCACTATAGGAGCTGCTGACGAGGCCAAACAGGACAAAGGTTAGTGGCTGGTAGTACATCTGTTGTACAGGTACCCATCAACAGGTTCCCCCTTTTGTGTAATGATGTCTACATCTATCGTCGTTGTTTCATTTTCTTTTGCTTTCTTACCTTATATTGTTGCCATTTCTGGTTTTTGTCTCGACGCCACAAAGTGGAAGCGAGACTTTGGTGATGCTTTTCTGGCCACGGCGTCAACATTAAGTGTTTGCGTTTAAGTTAGTTTCACTGAAAGTATGATTGCTACACCAACCAAACTTGGACCATAGATGCATCTTAGGTAGTACATCTTAACCCATGCATCAAATACTAGATACGGCCTACATTTTGTGGTCCATTGACTTTGTCAGCATCTCCATCAAAATCGAGTTTTTGTGTTTCAGTTAGCTATATATATAGTTTCTCTGATATGTACATTGATGGTCAAAGCGGGGCACAGGCGAGACATATCAATCTGAATGGCTTGTTCTTTGTTTGTGACATTTAAGATAAATACTAAGCTTGTAAAAAAAGTGAATTTTGATCATTAAAGATAACAAATCTTTGTGTTAGTAGTGTTAATTAACCTTTGAAGTCATTATTATTTTGTATTTTTTAGTGGTGTTAAATTTTTAATTCTTCAAATGTATCTTAAAGCTGTTTATTTTGAACCAACATTATTCAAGGGTTTCTAAAACTTACACAATTGTATCCTATAGATATTGAAATATTATTTTTATACGCCCGTCGAAGACGGGGACGTATTATGTTATCACGTGAGCGGGTGGGCGGGCAAACGATGTCCGCTCGATATCTCGAGTAATTATTAACGGATTAACTTCAAACTTCACAACAAGGTTAATTACCATGAAACCTCGGACAAGTTCGATAACCGCCATTATCCGACCATAATTTGTGGAGTTATGCCCCTTTATGGACTTGCCGAAACAGTGTCCGCTCGATATCTCGAGTAATTATTAACGGATTAACTTCAAACTTCACAACAAGGTTAATTACCATGAAACCACGGACAAGTTCGATAACCGCCATTATCCGACCGTAATTACTGGAGTTATTACCCTTGGTTTCATTAATGCGATGCATGCGTTCGATGATTTTGTATTGCACTCATTGATCTACCAGTTATGTTGAATGATTTCTCTTTTAATATCAATTACTCACAAATACTTCATATATTTCAATCATACAAACAACTGCTCATTCAATGTGTGACGGGCGTATTATATACCGCTCGCGGTAACCTTGTTTATATAATAACTCAGTGATTACATATTGAAAATCTCAGGGAATAGAAATGGTATCAACTTCTTAATCTGTTAAACTTTGAAATGTAGATTTATATTAGGATTAAATAGTTGCTGTATAATCGTTCCTATGCAGTAAGGAAATCAATCCCACAAAAAAGAGGATTAAGATCTTCTATTTCTCATGCTATTAGATTCTCTAGACCCTGTAACTCACAACCCCTTGATGTTGTTGCATGCTTCACTATGCAGATAAACCAGCATTTTAGTTTCCTTTTTCAACTTTATTTGATTTCTTTCAAGACACGTTAAAAATAAATGATAATGTACTGTTTGCATGGACCTTTAACTTTCTACAGACAAATTGTTCAAGAGACCCGACATATCGCAACCTATATCTGAGGAATCCACTGCCACGGCTCCAGAGAAGAACGATTCGGATCAAACCCAAGCTAAGGCGGGGGCACCATCACCTGCTAAGCCTCCCCTCCCCAACAAACCAGGTTGTCCTCCAAAGCCTGTGGTGGCTTCTAAACCACAGCAGGATGTCCTGCCCGCACCAGTGTTTTTAGTGAAGCCTGACACGCCCATGGACTTTGGTGGGTGGTCAGGATATAAAATGTGTCTTTTCATGAATTTACTTCCCTGTTAAGTTTGATGTGTTCTGGAAATGATTTTGCATTGAAATTATCATTTTTATTCACAACCTAATCAAGTAAATATTTTGAATGCATGATTTTTTTCTTATTTTGGAAACGTGAACTTTAAATATATTTATATTGTGCTATTACTATGCATGCAATCAGTTCTATATGTGCAGTTTATTTCACATTTTATCTTCAAGTTAGTACTTCTTTGTGTTGTAGATAGTAAAACAATGTCTCTGGCTAAAAGACTGCTTGATTTACCTTCATTTTGATCTTGTGATGTGTCTACCAGGTTGTTTTTTAAGGGTATTTCAGACATAAAATCCTGAACAAATTCTCCTTTATTGTGTCGCCTGCAATGCGAGGCGACATAGAAGTATTACTTTCACGTCGGCATCGGCGTTGGTTGCGTCGTTGCGTCAAGTTTCCTTGGGTTAATTGAACTCAAATTTGGTACACATATTGCATACCAATATAGCTTGGACGAGTTGGCATTTCAGAAGTTTACATGCATTTTTGGTGGAGTTAAGCCCCTTTTACTGCCAAATAAGGGCATTGTTTAGTTAATGCAAGAACTTTTTTTATTTTTTAATCAATTCCTTATGAATTTTGTACGGTAATGCTAAAATAAATAATGTTCAACATATATTGCGGGTTTTTCTGTCGAGTTTCAACTTTCCGCGTTTTGGCATATCACGCTTGACGTAGCAATGCTATTCATCATTTTTGTCTTTACTTTTTGCTTGTTTACCCGATAACTCAAGCCAAAACACTTTTCTCACTAAAAGCGCTGAGCAGGCGACACATCCACTCCTGTGGAATTCTTGTTTTCATGAATTCTTCCTTAATTTAGATGAATTGTCTTACCATGACCTTTGACTTACAGGCAAGGCTGACCAGATCCCTAAAGCAGTTAACTTGTCTGGCGACGGCAAACTGTTTGAGAAAGTGGACAAGGAAGATACTAAAGAGAAAGAGGTTCCCAAGGGAGAAAATATAAAGAAGGAAGAGGCCAAGGGAAAAAGCAATTTATCATCAAGGTAAGTATTGTAGATTTTGTGTGATGATATATGTGAATGTCCTAATGACGTTAGAGCTCGCGATTGGTTGATTCTTTTACGGAATTTTCAAACTGTCATTTTTGATGAAAATTAAAAAAAAATGTACAAATATATTTTGTGTTTCCTGTGTTCAATCTATTATTTTAATTTCTGATACATTAGTTTAAGTTTTGATTTTCAATGTTTTAAAAAGTATACTAGATAAAAGTTTCACATTGTGTTGACGATATGCTGATCAGTGTTTCAAAAACTGGGCGGGTTACACACGTGTTGTCCAGTAAATACTAACAGAGGAATACAATGTTCAACAAATCAGCTTTCTTTTGTGTTTGTTGGGATAGTAAAGGGAAAGAAAACTTTTGACAATGTTGATCTGAACAAAAATTCAGTACAGTAAAACCTTCTTATACTGCCATCAAACTACACGGTCCTGTCAAAATTTGGCATCATAAAGGGGTTTAGCTACATATCAAGGGATGTACATATAGAAGGAGGATTAATAAACTAGAAAATGTCTGTAAGACATAAATGCCTTTGCTCATGGATGGGACGGGACCGGACGCGACATGGGCAACACTATATGCCCCCCCCCCCCATTTTATGGCGGGGGCATAATTAAGGAACCTTGAAATATGTTTGTGCTATGTGAGGTAGCCAATCATCAAGGGTCATCCTATCAAGGTTTTATTGTACATATATAGAAAATGGAATAGAAGGCACAGAATTTTTTTGTTCATCTAAACAACATCAGTTACTGTGGACATATTTATTTTGTTCCAGTATGGTCAATCTGTGATTTAAACACAACTTAAAGTATAAGTTGTCAAAACAACAGTCCTAGGCCCAGTGACTTGGTAATATAAATTCAACATTTCAATTTATTGTCTCGCCGCAATGAAGAAGCAGAAGCAAGACTAAGGTGTTGCTTTTTTTTGGGGCGGCGGCAGCAGCAGCTTCATCATTAAGTTTTTGCGTTTAAGTTAGTTCCACTGAAAGCATAAATGAGTTAGTTCCACTGAAAGCATAAATGCTACACCAACCAAACTAGTATCTTAGGTAGTAAGTACATCTCAACCCATGTATCAAATGCTGGATGCGACCTACCTTTCATGGTCCATTGACTTCATCAGCATCTCCATCAACATCAAGTTTTTGCATTTAAGTTAGTTTCTCTGATATGTGCATTGATGGTCAAAGCGGGGTACAGGCAATACAGATCAATCCAAATGGCTTGGTTTTATCATTTATATGCAAAAATATCGCTGCTCAAAATATTAAAAAAAAGTGTACTGTAAGTGTACTGTAAGTGTACTGTAAGAGATGTCTTCATCACACTAAACTCTCACTTACAAGTTTGGTAGCAGTTACTACAAATCATTCTGTAAATCCAAATACAGGCTTACAAAACCTACATAACACTGACCTACCTGGTGAAGTTTATTATACACATCATGACATGATTGCTTGCCTATGTAGTAGTTTATATGGCTGTTCTTTTCATTGCAGTGAGAAGCGGAGTTCTGGTGTGATCATGGGCCTCACAAGTGGTCAGTTTGACATAGGAAATGCACATGTAAGATTTCATATTGCAATATTCAAATATCATGTTATCATTTAATATAATTATTTCATAAAATAAAAAAAAATTGTGGTGATTTATAAGCAAAAATGATTATGGGTGTTTCATTCATTATGGTAGTGAAACACCTCTCCTTCGACCTTACATAACTCAGATATCACTCATACATTGAAGAGTTTGTAGTTCCCGAGTGTGTTCTGATAAATTATTTGTAACTGAAACAGATAGAACATAAACAAATAAGTAGGCCACAAATACAGCTGATTTAGGTCTATTCTAGTAACAGAATGACTCTGTGTATAATTAATTTACAGTTTTATATCTTATTAAATGCAGCAAATATATTTTCTTCCATTTTCTTTCGATTACTTGCATAAATTATCAGTATCATGCTATAATGTATTGTCCCATAAAGATTATTGCATGACAATCTCGGATCAACCCCAGACTTGTCGAATACCATGTATTCCATGTTTTCCTCCGAGTATTGATCTGGACCTTGCAGATTTGCGTCAGCAGTAGTGATGTACAATCAGTTTAAAATCATAATCGATGATCGATTTGTAATCAGAGGTAGTAAACAGATCAATGATCGATTGTATAATTGGTTTATGATTTTTTTGTGACTGAACACCCAAATAAAATGAGAAAAATACTATTACATCAATAGACAGAGTTGTTCACTATACATTAGGTTTTGTTCTTTTATAATGAATGGATATCAAGCAACTTTTTTACATTTTTATCAATCATAAAGTATAAATCATAACAATTTAAATTTAAATGTATGTTTAAACATGGTTTATGAAACAATATTTATACAAACCTCCTCATCTTTATTTCTAAATGGCAGTTAGATATTAGTCACAGCACAGTCTGTAAGGTTTGTTCTCCTTTCTCCCACTTTTTTTCTGATCAAAGGAATTATATAAACACTGGACAACAATAGAGGTGTCATTATAGTCTGTTCTGGTATAGTACAGGTAGATTATTTACCTGTATTTACCTGTTCACCAATAGGAAATACTGTGTTAGTTATAGGAATATTTAACAAATATATTTCCTGATTTTTCGTAATATTTACTAGAATTATGAATCAATATATACAATCAATTACATGTACACATGGAATACTCAGCGCTGGTTGATCAAATCAATCATATTCATAAAATACACACATGCACAAAGATACATGATATAAAACAAATATAATAGCACTAACTTACTAAAGGTGAAATATTGGAAAGTCAATAAAAGTCACAGATAAGTCCATGATTTTAAGAAATCCTAGCAAAGCACCAAATAAAAATTCCATAACAAGCACATTTATCACAATGTCACTCTAAATGCAAAAGATTGGTTGTATATATATGTGGATTTCACGTTACTGTTTTGTATGATCTAGCTGATGAATATGGAATATGATATGGAAAAATGTCTAAAAATGATGAAAATAGACTATATCAAAGCTACATGTATATGTATATGACAGTACTGCATACATGATACAGATAATGTGGGAGAACACAGGTAAAAACCAGGTAAAATACATATGAAACAGACTATAACTGCTATCACAACATTACTGCCTCTATGGTTTTTTTAAAAAGTGGGAGAAAGGAGAACACACAGTCTGTAACTATATGGTTTTCCCATTCACATCCAGAGTGTGGGCATTTGTTAAGACTAATATGAGATACCATCATTGGTTTGGGGTTTCTGTCCAGCCATGCAGCCCCCTGATTTAAAATGATGAATCAATTCTATCGATTTGTATTTTTCAATTATAATCGCTCATCAGCCCATCACTAGTTAGCAGGGTTTTACTGTAGTTAACACTTAAAAATCAAACTTACGAATATTTAAATATGTACAAGAAAGAATGTAGTGTGAAATTTACCTTTATCTGCTTTTACACCATTGTGACTTTGACTTTCAAGAAAATAACTTTGTTCTGCTGCTTTACAAAATTATAGATGCTACGCACCTGTTCCGAGCCAGACCTGGCAAAGCTCTTCAAGACATTGGACCAATCATCACAAAAAGCTGAAAATCCTCAGCGGGTCAGTCTGGACCTGGAGAAACAAAGAGAAGAGGTACACTGGAATTGTCACCCTTTGTAATATAATTATACATATTCATTGCACTGATTTTTGTTTTATTTCTGACAGCAAGTTGTCTCCCTTATTTTTATTTTTTTATCCTCCTGGTTTTTGGAGAAAACAGTTTGCTAATTATTTGGATGTGTCTGTATATATCTGTCCCTCTGTCTTTCATTTCTGTTCAAAAACTGCCCTAGATTGAAAAATTTGGTATGTATGTTATGGCAATCTCAGACTGAGTTTTATCGTCTATGTAATGCATGTTTATTTATACATTATATGGTCTGTTGATTCTGATTTAATTCCATGCAGTAACTGCCCTAAAATGATTTGATTTCAACCAAAACTTGTTGTGTACATGCATAATGGCAAGTTAAGGCTACGTTCAATCACCAATGTGATGCGTGCATGCTTTCAACAGAATTAATGACTTTTTTTTATTCTTATCGGTTAATTGGTTTCGTGCAAGAACTGCCCTACAAATCATTCAATTTCAACCATATCTAACATGAAAATCAATATTCTAGCTTGTGCAACATCTACACCATATCTCAACAACAAACTAAAGCTACAACGTTGTCCTGAATGTGGGGTATATATATATACCTCAACTTGGTGGATAGCTTACGTTTATAACATCATATAATCCAATCAAAATCCAAGACGGATACCGTTTTTATTTTCTCTGATTGTCAGACACATATTTAAACAATAACTGGTTGTCTGGATGTAATTATTGTTAATATAATTACAAGTGGCCTCTGGCAAATCCCATAAAAACCCTAGTCCTTTTTCCGGACCCATAATCCAAGTTGGCAGCCATGGGTTCTAATTGAGGCCTTTAAGGGTATAATTTCTGTGTCTGAGGTCTGATTTTGTTCGCGCTTGGTGGTAACTTGCATTTGTCCTATAACATACGTGTGTAATGCCTTATTATATATGCATACTTCTGAAATCAAAGATGATTTCTAGGACTTATACTATGCCTTTATGAGGATATACACTCAAGCACATTGCAGGCCGCTCCTGACCTGGAAGTAGTTGAAGTCAAGCTTCTTTTATGAGTTGTGCCCATTTGGTGAAATTCTTAGCCTATATACCGGTACATATATCCTTTATGTCAAGAAAATCTATCAGCAGAATGTATGAAATTTAGTACACATTCTCTTCACTTGATACAACTGTTCATTACCATGGACCTTATTTCAGAATTTCCTTGTGGGAGTTAGGGTTGGTAGTTAGACTGAATTTGCGGCTTACATTTCTAATTTTATATGATAAATTTTCTTACAAAACATGCATCTAGAGTTACTTTATTATGATTCATAAAAAAAGAGAAATTTAAATAAAAATAACAAAAATGTAATTAGTATGTATTATTTGTGGCAGATTGAACCACTACAAGTTGGCCTGCTGGACAATGTACAGCTTGACTTGGAGGAAGAAGATATTGATGTCATGTAAGAATTACCATTGGCAGAAATTAAAAATTTGTCCGATATTGTTTTGTACGTTTAATTCTGAATGACTATTAATTAACAAATGTTGAATGCATATTATTAAAAAGATATTATTCAGATGTGAAACAAAATTTTAATGATATATTTTGCAAAATATGTGGAGATAATTTCACATTTATGCAGGAGTGGAATTGAACAACAACATTCTTCATCGTGTAAATATTAACGATAGCCTATAGGAGTTGGTGTATATTAAGTATCGCACCAATGTTTGAGCAACATGCAGTACACAATTCTAATAATAGGTTTTACTCTTGTGTGTTTATATAGAGATGATGACGAATACGAGGAACTAAAGAGTGTCAGGGAGACGATGCAGAGTCTCCTGATAGGAGAGTACAGCACTGATGAGGAGTCTCAACACAGCAGCAGCCGCCTCAGTCTGGCCAGTAACCATGACGACAAGATTGACGAGGACAAGGAGGCTGGACACGTGAGTGATAACAGTGATGACCGTGACAACGAGGACGCTGAGGAGTACCAGAGGAAGTTGGCAGAGAAACTGAGCGATGGAGAACAAGACGAAGGGAACGACGATAACGGTGACGATTTAGAGAACCTAGAAGAGAATGCTGAGGAAGATGAGGACACAGAAGACGTTGAGGTTCAGGAGGATGAAGGTCCGTCAGATGACAAATTAGATTTATTCCAGTCAGGTAGGATGTTTAGAAATTGGGAGATAACACATCAGGGGCCACTTGTATAAAACATCTCAACTCTCAAGATTTCCTCAAGTCTAAAATTTCCCACAGACAATACATTGCTTAAGATTTTTCTCAACTGTGATCTTTTCATATATCAGTTAGGGATTGGGGTCGGGGTGACGATCTCTAGAAACATTTCCCCCGACTTCCAGTTTTTATCCCAAACTACCCAATCAAATTCTATCATTCTTACATATGATACAGGATGAATCTGATTTGCTATACCGGCAGTAATAGGATAAAACATTTAGAACCAAGTTTAAAGTTAATCTTATCCGCCCCTACTCCTTTAGTTTACCTCTTGTAGGTGTAACATGTGAGGTAGGTTATAAAGGTATAAGGATAGCAAGAATATGTGTCCAAGTTTTAATCACACATGGTTTTCCCCTTGTTGTAGATGAGAGTGATTCAGACACACAGTTTGGAGACGACGATGACGACTTTGATCTCTTCAGCAGACTAGAGGAGTCGAGAGCTGAGCTGGAAGGACAGCTTGGCTGTGATACCTTTCTCAAGGTCTATAAAACAGTACAAGTAAGTAAAAGGGCTTATTTCAAAACATACCCAAAATGCAAACGAAATTTAATGTATCAGGTCAATATGCATTGACTTCCAAATTTAATTGAATGATCCATAAAAATGGTGTTTTTTATCCGCCCACCAAAAGTGGAGCATATTACATTATCATGCTATCCATTTTTACAATAAGCTTGTGACCACATCAAGTCCCACAGTTTTCCACTGAATCTTGTGTCTTTGGAGGTGTGTCACTTCTGGTAGCCTCAGTTGAGATGAACTTTGAACATCTACCATGAACCTATGTTATAAACTACTGGAGCTAGCTAGCTTGAGCAAAGAATGATGGTGTAAGGTACTGGGTTTGATTTAGGCTCTACAGGAAGACGAGGATGAGAACATGGAGGATGGCGTCGCCATAGTGACAAAAATGCTCGGTAAAGATAAGGAGCATCTGTACCCAAAAATATTCCAACTCGTCATGGCCGACTCGGCCTTCACAGAAGGTAAGAAAATACCTGTCTTTACATTGGTAAATAAAGATATTTATCTATCTTATATACTTGGTAGACTTGTGATAAATGTAAAAAAATGTACCTGTCTATGACCATCTTGGTAGACCTGTGGTAGATACAAATGTATAACAAGGATAGAGATAATTCCAACATTAACTCATTCACCCCTGAAGACGCATTTGAACTCTAACATTTCAAAGGTTGGAATAGTCCATTATCGAATTTCAGGGGTGAATGAGTCAGACTTGTTTGTAAACATTTAGACTGTTGTAGAACATATTCCTGAGATTTTCCCCACACATGTACTATGCACATTAGCCAAAATCTTTATATCTGTGTGATCTCTGTCTGGGATAGCTGTCTCTTAGAGCAGTATATGATAGGAAATTTCATTATGTCCTAGAAGAAATTGGCATGGGAAATTCCAGACTGTTATCTCCATTTGTAAATCAAGATTGTCATTTCCTTGTTTAAAGTTACTTGTTAAAAAATAGAGAATTTGTTGTGATTTACAATGTCCCTGATCACCGTATCATAGTACTGGACTAGGATAATTGCCTTTATTTACTCAGTGTTATGAAATACAAAGTATATATAAGATGGAGCTTCTATATTTAGATTCCGTAGTTTTATTATCGGTTTACATGTTTTGACTAGCTATATAAGCTAGCCATCATCAGAAAATTATTATGAAAGTCCAATATTTCTTTGGTAACATTCAAGCCTTCTTGCATGGTCAATTCATTGTGTATTCTATGTACCAATTTCATAAGTCAATTTATATTGTACGTACATAATCCATCTTTACATATAGCCAGTTTGCATTCTACATCAATCATCATTTTATAGTCTTAATACATACAAATTCAAACATGATTTTACCGTAAATATTTGCATATAGTGCACACTGTTTAGGGGAAAATGACAGTATCAATAAAGGGATGCTCGCTATACACCAGAACAATCCAAAAACCAGTCCTGGGTTGACTATTTATTAAAAGAAAATCGGGGATTTTCGAAAATATTTTGAAATATACTTGCAGCAATAAACTGCTAAAGTTTGTGTAGGAACTCCTTATTGCATTGTCTATTTTATCACTACAAAAAGTTGTAAGTTAAAGTCAAATTACACAATACAATCAGATAAACAAACTGTAGTACAGTATATTTATCTAGTATTCTACCTATTATATCTGTGTTTTGCCTAAAATCATATTATACAAATAAGAACTTGCCTCTAAAAGCCTTGATTCATTGACCACTGTTCATCTGCATGATACTGATGCCACCTTTCAGAACAGAGATCCCAGAATGGTGAGTGGACATGTCGGTGAACATGACGTAACCTTTCGCTCTTGTGGCTTCACCTTGTTGTGGCATCACGTACATCTGATCCCAATACCCCTTAGTCTCTTCTCAAACTCATGATCACACAGCAGCATTCATTATAGAAATTTCCCTGACATACCTTCAGAATTGTCGAAGAATTTTTTTTTTCACTTGGTACAGTTTCTTTGAGCATATACAAATCTGTTTACTCAGAATTAGCTTAGAACTTTGGCAATAAGACTGTGTACAGTAAGTGAACAGGCTGACACTGAAGTCACATTCAAATCGGTTTTTATTTCATGAATTACAAATCTAATCTCACATTTAAATTGATATAATTTCATGAATTAAACAAATGTCTGTAAAACACTTAATTTCTACTTAAAAAAAGCTTTTACCTACCAATGCTTTGTATGCCTTCATTAAAGATTGTTAAATGTCAGTTTAGTTGTAAGTTATCTGATCACTTTAACGACTTTCTTCCTCTCCACTGATCACTGTCACTACAACGTACGTAACATGTCCAATTATATTGGTATTTCATGTATCTACACAATTCATGTTAGTCTAGGAATCCGTCGACTTAGTCTCTCAAAGTCTAGGAATCAGTCCACTTAGTCTCCCAATAACTTATATACACGTGTTAGTCTCTCAATACATTTATCTACACGTGTTAGTCCCTCAATACACTAATCTACACGTGTTAGTCCCTCAATACACTTATC